CCGTCGCTCCTTCCCGGGCTCCTTCCCTGTCCCTGGTCTGCTCCCCACCCCCCTCCCGCCTGTGTTCACCCATGCCCTCCGATTTTCCTTTCAACCGGCATTTTACCTTGGCGCTTTTCTCTATTCATCTTTTTGGCTATAGTGATTCTTCCGTTCGCTGCTTCCTCGCCTCACCCCTGCCGCCATGGGTACCCTGCAAGACCCAAACCCCCAACCCTGGAGTTTTAGATGCTGTCCTGTTTCCATTCAGTCCCTAAATTTTAACCCCTTCTGTTTCCAGTACCCTAGCTAGTAGATTTCGTACAGATCAAAAATCCAGCCGGGGATCGTTTGAAAGGTGACTTTGAAATTTAGGACTTCTAATTTTCCCCAATCCACATCTGTATTTTCTCCCTCACCTACCCAACCCCGTGTTTTATTTCTTTATTTTTTTAGTGCATCTCTAGGAAACCAGATGATTTACACACACACCCCTTTCTTTTCTCCTTTATGAACTTGGCGCTTCAAATCCTACCAAAATGGATAACCTTCATTCGATCTGGATGTTTCCTGTAGCATACCCCTTGCATTGCTGCCCCAGTGGTGGAAAGGTGGAGGTGGGGGGGTGATGGAGTGAGGCTAGGATGGACTTAGGATGCAAGGGGGCTTCAGAAAGGTTCATGAAGAAATCATATGAAAAGAGAATGGAAAATTTCCACCTAATTTTTGAAGCCGCTTGGTACAAATTTGTTCAGAGGTGCAGCTCTTGCTGACTGGTGTTAATGGCAGATAAAGCATCCTGGAGAATTCGCTCATGCCAGCCTTGAGGTGTTAGTACGAAGGGTTGTAGAGGATTTTAAGCTGTTTTAGATGCAACCCTTACCTAGGTGGAGATTTGAGATATGGACACAAAAGACAGGGGTGGAGTGTGGGGTTGAGAAAAGATGGAAAAATCCTGGTGGGTAGAGGACAAGGGCAGGAGGTCAATTCTGGAGAATCTTGGTGGTCAATTATCTTTTCTTGTTCTGATTTCTGATCCACATTTTTGCTGTGAGCTCTTTGAAGGCTTTAGCTCCTACCCAGGTACAAGAGAATATAAAACATGATCCTCACTTAAAGGGAAGTTGTAGTCTATGGAAAGCATGGCCTTATAGTTAAATAATCACATGGAGCATAAGTGTTAAGATGTTTCTAATGGACATGGTTGTACTGTTCCTAATTCTCCTGGTAAAAACGAGGAAACAGACCTGGAGGAAAAAGCCTGAGTTGAAGGTCGTACAACTTAGTCAGGCAAAGCCAAGCCATTGGAGTCCCTGATAAAACTTTAAACTGATATTAGAAATGGTCCTTATCATTTTGCAGACCAACTCACAAAAGCCTATTTATATTTAACCCTTCACATAGCTGAAGTACAGGGCCCTAGTGGCACAGTGGTTATGCATTGGGCTGTTATCCATAAGGTCAGCAGTTTTTGAAACCTGCAGCAGTGCTGAGGGAAAAGGATGGGGCTTTCTACTAGCATTAACAGTTCATCTCAGAAACTCAACAGGGGCAGTTCGCCCCTGTCCTGCAGGGTTGCTATGAGTTGTCATCAACTGGATTGGCAGTGAGTTCAGTTTTTTTTTTCGTTATAGATGAAATACTCATGTGCTCAAGTGTGCTCTGGATGTTTTGCATGCTAAAATTATGTAGAAGCCTACTTTTGTACGTATTTGGTCTTTGGCGCATTGCAGCAGAGCCAACCGCACAATGAAGGAGGAAAAGCACAATGATTTCAAAATCCACCTTCCTCAGATGATGGCACCAGAGAGTATGGACAGAGGGAAGGACTGACCAAGCCAGTGTAGGTGATTGAGTGGGTAGTATATTTCTTCGAGATTGTTCTGTTTCTCTTCCCCATTCCTTCTTTGTGTTTAGCCAGGCTTCTTTCTTAGGAATCACAGTCAGGTCAAGGATATATTCCAAAATGGGATAGTGAGGTGAGGCACAGGGATGTAGGTGGTTCCTGTGAAGTACCTGTTTTTCCATTTGAAGCATTGTATTTTCCTAGTTGCTATCTGCTGCTTGGTCTTTTAAAGGTTCTTTCCTACACTGTTTTGTTTTTTTAACTACCCTACATTTTCCAAGGCTTGGAATAGCAGTCGGGAGTCTCCTGTACCCTTTGCGGCAGAGATCAAGGGAATAATTGTCGCAGATATTCCTGTCGTAGACTAGCTTGCCTTTTTATTCCTGTTTGGCGTGTTCTCCCTTCCTAACTGTCTTCATGATGGCATTGCAGAGGACTATATACTTCTGGGCATTTTCTTTCCAGGGAGAAGCAAACGGCTAAAACATCTACATAGGCAAAAGTAAGTTTAGGGAGTTGGGTCTTTTTGTTTTTAATTTTAAGATTGTCCATACTGTGCACCCCCTCCCCCTTCATGTCATTCACCAATTGAAGCAGCCTTCTAAAAATCAGATCTCAGTAGCCGAGATCTACTGCTTTCGCTTCAGTTACTGAAAACAAATTTCATGGAAAGTGGAGAAGTTTGTCAGTGGGTAGATATTTGCTTTACCAGCTTGATTTACCCATTTGCTTTCCTTTATCTTTTGCACCCTGCTTGATAGCTGATGAGAAGACTTTTGGAGGCTGTTCAAACAGTGCCTTCTGATGATGTCCACAGTTTTGTGTTTGCTCATGCTCATTCTCCTGAATCTGGGCCACATTGACAATCTCTAGTAACAGAAAGAGTCAACGCACTAATACTTATGGCCTAAGTGCCTTGTGAAAGGTTGGGTAGGAGAAAGGGAAGTATTTAAAAAAAAAAAGAAAAGCAGGTAGTAGCTAGGGGAGAAATGCTTGCGTTGGGCAGAAACAGAGGATTGACAGTTTAATGCAGGCAGTGTTCAGATTAGAGACATTGGTGACTTCGGTTGGATGGTTACTAGTCTAGGTTCAGTGGACAATCAAATTACATGGACACAGCCAGTTTCCTAAGAATTCACACTGCCCTAGGAGTGTCTTTTAGAATCTTAGGGCAGAGTTAGAATTGTCCAGAATGGTGAGAAAGTGAAAATAAAGAGACACAAAGAAATTTCAATAGGCTGGTAAACAGATGTTTAGAAAGCATGAGAAATACAGCACATTTTGAACTTGTTTTTGCTGGTTTGGGAGACAGGATTGTTCTGATGCAACGTTCTCTCTCAGCAATTCCCCACTGCTCTGTTTTTTGTACATCAACCATGTTAATCACCAACCTGCCCTGCTAACCACCATAAACAGACAAACAAACAAACAAAACAAAACCATTGAGCACATTTTAAAAAGTGCGTAATTATGGTAGGCTCAAGGTAAAATGACCAGGAGTTGGGGTCAAGGTCAGCCTGCTGCTCTTGGGGAGAAAGATGAGGCTTTCTACTCCTGTAAAGTGTTCCAGTCTTGGAAACCCACAGGAGCAGTTCTACTCTGTTTCATTAGATCACTATGAATCAGAGTGGATTTTGGGTATAATCAACTGATGAGATGAAGCAGGTTAATGCTGTCAGATGTGTTCTTCTCATCGCCTTTCAGGAGTGCTTCAGTACCTTGACATTAAACAATTGTGAAAAGTGTAGAGGAGGACAGTGTCTTTACTTTTTATACTCCCTATTTGGCAAGATATGAAATGTACTATTCTGTGAATCAATTACTCAGTGATGTGATTTGAGATCCCCATTTTCAATTACCATTAACTTAAAAAAAAAAAACCCAAGACTATCATGTGTCTTTTATAACCCTGTGACCCCCAATTTTCTTATCTAGATTTAGAAATCAAAGGTGTATAATGGTTGTAGATGGAAGAATCCCCTTCCTTGAAGAAAGGGTCGTTAACAAAGGCAGGAGGAATTGGGGGACTTTTTGAGAATGGAATCAATCTTTGGAGAAATATTCAGGTTAGAAATGTAGATTTGGGCATAAACCTCCACTCCTATCATGCTACTGGAAGCAGTATAGGGAATTAATCCTTAAAATAATGGTTCTGCCTTTCTGATACTAATAAGCTGCTGAAGTAATAACTTCCTGAAGAAAGCTTGGTATTTATCTATTATTTAATTGTTACTTATCCTTCATTAAATCCAGTTTTTCTCAATTTAGCCATTTAAAAAATTCCCCTCTTATTTTGTATAATTAGTTACTTTGTACAGAGTACTTACTGTATTTTGTACTCATTACTCTTCATACAAAATGTGGGCTGCCTTAAAATATTGATGTCACCTTTTCCTTGCTGTGGGTGCAATGATGATGAGCAGACCACAAGTTTGGTGGTTCAAACCCACCAGACGCCCCTTAGGAGAGATGAAGAGATGAGCCTGCCTGCTCCTTCAAAGATTTACAGTCCCTGGAACATGCTTCACCTATACTTCTACCCATTCCCAAACTGCCTTCCTTATTCTTTGAGCCAAACCCCAGATCTGTTTCTTTTTTTTTTTTTCTTAATCATTTTATTAGGGGCTCATACAACTCTTATCACAATCCATACATACATCAATTGTGTAAAGCGCATTTGTACATTCATTGCCCTCATCATTCTCAAAACATTTCCTCTCCACGTAAGCCCCTGGCATTAGGTCCTCATTTTTCCCCTCCCTCCCTGCTCCCCCTCCCTCATGAGCCCTTGATAATTTATAAATTGTTATTTTGTCATATCTTGCCCTGTCCAACGTCTCCCTTCACCCACTTTTCTGTTGTCTGTCCCCCAGGGAGGAGGCCACATATAGTTCCTTGTAATCGGTTCCCTCTTTCCAACCCATTCTCCCTCTACCCTCCCAGTATCACCACTCACACAACTGGTCCTATAGGGATCATCTGCCCTGGATTCCCTGGATTTCCAGTTCCTATCTGTACCAGTGTACATCCTCTGGTCTAGCCAGACTTGCAAGGTGGAATTCATATCATGATAGTGGGGGCGGGGAGGAAACATTTTGGAACTAGAGGAAAGTTGTATTTTTCATCGTTGCTACATTGCCCCCTGACTAGCTTGTCTCCTCCCCGAGACCCCTCTGCAAGGGGGTCTCCAGTGGCCTGCTAATGGGCTTTGGGTCTCCACTCCGCACTCCCCCCATCATTCACTGTGGTAAGATTTTTTTTTCTGATGATGCCTTATACCTGATCCCTTCGACACCTTGTGATCGCATAGGCTGGTGTGCTTCTTCCATGTGGGCTTTGTTGCTTCTGAGCTTGATGGCCGCTTGATTACCTTCAAGCCTTTAAGACCCCAGACACTATACTTTTTGATAGCCGGGCACCATCAGCTTTCTTCACCACATTTGCTTATTCACTCACTTTGTCTTCAGCGGTTGTGTCGGGAAGGTGAGCATCATAGAATGCCAATTTAATAGAACAAAGTATTCTTGCGTTGAGGGAGTACTTGAGTGGAGGCCCAATGTCCTTCTCCTACCTTAATACTAAACCTATACAGATCTGTTTCGTGTGTGTGTGTGTGTGTGTGTGTGTGTGTGTGTGTTTATGTCCTTAAAAGATAAGGACTCTTTAAAAATAATCACAACATATCTTGGTCATATCTAAATATATAGTGCTGTTTCCCATTAATCTCTTAAAATTGTATAGTTCCTCTTGTGATTTCTTTTCTGTTGTGTTTTGCCAGGTGGAACTTAACGTCTTGTGGAACAAGTGTTGCCAGTTCAGAATGCAGTGAGGAGCTGTTTTCATCCGTGTCTGTTGGAGACCAAGATGACTGCTATTCCTTGTTAGATGATCAAGACTTCACTTCTTTTGATTTATTTCCTGAAGGGAGTGTCTGCAGTGATGTCTCTTCTTCTATCAGCACTTACTGGGACTGGTCAGATAGTGAGTTTGAATGGCAGGTATATATATATATATATATAAATGGTTTTTTTCTTTATTGGCATCACTGCCACATAAATAGAAGTATGTATTTGCATTTTAACGTGTTCATCCCCAACTGAAAGCACATTTCTCCAGTGTTTATCCATTCCTGGCGATTTTTTGGCAACATGTTTGAAGGTTAAGAATTATAAGATGTAATGTGGATCCTTGATTATTGTTAATGTACCTTTTAGGTTTCCCATATTACTGATGTCTTTTTGTAGCTTGTCGGGTAATTTAATACTTGGATAATATTATCATCAGTATATATATCATCAGGCTTCTCATTGCAGGAAGCCAAGCAAATTTACTCTTCTGCATTTGTGTCCTCATACGCACAATGTACTCGAATCAGAGTCACAATATCGAAGAACAGAAACCAGGATGACCATAAATACATATTTTTTATTGCTCTTTGAAATAACGGTATAATTTTTCATTCTGTGTTCTCTTTGTACAGAGAGATGTTTTCCTTCTATTAGTACCCATAGTCCTGTGAAATGGCTTTGAGTTTGAAAATGGCAGATTGTTTGAAAATGCCGATTCATAATGGCTGTAATGTTCCAGAAAAATGTAGATTCAGCATGCATTTTCAGAACGAAAAAGACAGTAACATTTAAAGAAACTTTTCTAACACAAAAAAAATATCTTCCTTAATAGACATATGAGTGCCTACCTATTATGGTCAAAAGCCGTATAAATAGTCCAGGTTGTTTTATTTAAGACATTTTTATTATAAAATCCAAATAGCTCAGAATGACATAAAATTGAAAAGAATAGTCTCCACGTTCCCCTTTGCTGGGGTTATAATGTTGAATGCTTGTACACATAGAAGCCCATTTGCATATCGTTGGTTGGGATCATACTTCAGCCACGGTTCAACCCTTGGTGTTTTTCAACTTATATAGCTCATTCTTTTTGATTGCTGCATCGTAATTTATTTCATCATTCCCCTAGTAACAGATATTTAGATGGGTCTCAGGGTTTTCCTTTGTTTTCTATTGTAATGTTGCACCGAAAATTAAGAGAAGTTTTAAAAGAAGTGAAAAATAATCTAGAACCCCCTCGGTTTTTGTAGTTTGTATTCCTTCAATTGTGCTTGTGCTATAAGTCATCAAAAATCTGATTACAGCAGCCAAACAATAATATTTATAAGGCCTTGTATGCCTGACCTCTTTCTAATAGCATAATATTTTTAAGATTTACCCATATTGTAGATATCAGTACTTCATTTATTTTTATGGCAAAATAATATTCTGTTAGCATATGCTATATTTTAATTCTTCCATTCACGAGCTTATGGACATCTGGGTTGTTTTTATACTGTGGCTATTCTGAACAATGTTCCTATGAATATTCAAGTCCAAGTTTTTATGTGAACATACTTTGCTTTCTGTTGATTGCACCTAGGGGTGGAATTGTTAGGTCATGTGGTAGCACTAAAAAACTAGTTGCTGTAGACTGGATTCTGACTCATGGCGACCCCTTGTGTGAATCCCTAGGTGGTATAGTTTAGTGCACTTAGATGCATATCCAAAGGTTGGAGGTTCTGGTCTACCCTGATAAACCCCAGAAGAAACCCAGATGATCTCCTTCTAAAAAAATCAGCCACTGAAAATCATTATGGAGTACAGTTCTCTATTCTGACTTATGGGGTCACTGTGAGTCATAATCAACTTGAAGGCAATTGGTTTCTATGGTAGGTCTGTTTCACTTTGTGAAGAAATGCCTCATTTTTTCAAAGTGGACACCATTTTATTTTCCCACCAGCCTTGTATGAAGGTTCCAAATTCTTCACATCATTGTCAACACTTGTCATAATCTGGTTTTTATTATAGCTATCTTCTGCGGTATGAAGTGGATTTGAATTATGTTTCCCTAATGACCTATGATATTGAGCATCTTTTAATGTAATACCCGGCCATTTGCTTAACTTCTGTGGAGAAATAGTTATTCAAATCCTTTACCTATTTTTAATTGGGTTATTTATCTTTATTGTTGACTTGTAAGGGCTAATTATATATTCTGGCTACTAGATTCTTAATCAGATAATTGATTTGCTAATATTTTATCCCATTCTGTGGTTTGTCTTCACCTTTTTCTTTCTCATGGTTTTATTGGCATATATTTCATATCATACAATTTAATCTTCAATCATGTTAAGATTTGTGCAGTCATCACCACAATCAGGTTCAAAACATTTTTTTCTTGTATACATTGTTGTTAGCTCCTCATTTCCCTCCCATCTTTCCTTACCATGCCCCTGGGAAATTATCAGTCCAGTTACTGTCTCTAGTGATCTACCTATCCGGGATTTCATATGCAGAAAAATCATATAAAACACAAACAGGAAGCAAGCAAACAAACAAAATAAAACCACCAATGACTTGACAATACATAGAAAAACTTCAATAAAAAAGAAAGCATAAAATATTCAAAACGGATGGGTCAAAAAGATCAAGTGATAAGGGATTACATTCTAACTTAACTGCATCTACTACAATCGATTTTACAACACTTTCTATTTGATAGCAAGGCTATTCCCATCCCTTGACTGTGGTAAGAGAGGGTTCACCAGAGGCTTAATCCATGTGCGAAACTTGCAGATAGATGTTGGGTTTCCTCTGTCCTTAAAAAAAATTATCCAATCCAAGATCATGAAGATAACTTATGTGAGGGGGCAACCAAAAAAATTGATGAAAAAAATTCCATTGTCTTTTAATTTCTAGTTTTTCTATGAACTTTTTGAAGCCCCCTGGTATTTTCTCCGAAAAGTTTATCATTTTAGCTCTTACGTTTAGGTCTTTGATCAGTGTTTACTTCTTTTTCTTTGTGGTGTGGGTTCTGAGTCCAAATTCAGGTTTTTGCATGTGAATATCCAGGTATACCAGCATCACTTGTGTTAGACAGGGTTGTGTAGAGAAACAAAGCCAGTGACACTCATATCTATGAGAAAGAACTTTATATCAAGGAGTAATTTCTATCAAGAACGCATGCCAGCCCAGTTTAAGGTAAGTCCGTGGATTTGACGCTAGCTGGAGCGCTCTTCAGACTCATATATCAGCAAGCTGATAACACAGAAAGGTGAAGCAGGGTGTAAGGAGTCACAGGTCAGTGGGTGCAGAGTTGTGAGGATCCAAGGTCAGTGGAAACATGGCAGGGTGCAGGCATCTCCCAGGTTTTCTCCCAGGGTCTGGGAGCTGCCCACGTGGGGCTGATCCTGGAGGCAGAGAGAGTCCCAGCAAGGATGAAGGTTAAGGGAGGGAGCGGGGCGGGCAAAGAGAGGATGGAGAAGTCCTCAATGTTTCTCTTATAAAAAGGCCACATCCCGAAGGGGGGCATCTTCAGACTATGACCTGATTCATAGGTTGGACTCCACTGGTACACTTTCACATAGGTGGCAAGTTGATATAAAATCTAACTGCCACAACACTGTTCTTTCTCCATTGGATAGTCTTAGTATCCTCTTCAAAAATCAGACAAGTGCAAGTGTATGAGTTTATTTCTAAACTCGGTTCTATTCCATTGGTCTGTGTTTCTGTTCTTGTGCTATTACCACACATTTTGCTTAGTACAGTTTTGTGGTAAGTTTTCAAATTGGGAAGTGGGAGTCTTTTCAGTTTGTTCTTTATCAAGATTGTTCTGTCTATTCTGGACCTTGCAATTCCATATAACATTTAGGACTAGTTTGTCTGCTTTTACAAAATTGAGGCAGTTCAAAATTTGATAGGCAATGTGTAATACCTGCTTATCACTTTGGGTAGTGTTTTCATCATAACAACATTTAAGCTTTCCAATCCATTAACAGATGGTGTCTGTATCTATTTGGGTTTGTAAATTTCTGTAACTACAATGTCTTGTCATTGTCTGCATTTAACTCTTTCACCTCCTTGGTATTTCATTCTTTCAGATGCTGTTGTGAATGGAGTTGTTTTCTTAAATTCTTTTTCAGCTTGCTCATTGAGAAACATTCATTTATTAGCTCCAGTACCAAATCTTGTAGAGTGTGAGATTTTCTAGATATGGGTTCATGTCATCTGTGAACATAGTTTTTGGGCCTTCCTTTCAGGCTGTGACCTGATTGATAGCTCACAGATGTCTTTTATTTATTTTTCATGCCTACTTGCTCTGGCTAACACTTCCAGTAAAATGTTGAATGGCAGTGGTGAAAGCAGCTATCTTTGTGCCTTGTTCTTAATCTTAGTGTAAAAGCTTTTGGTCTAACATCATTGAGTTTCATGCTAGCTGTGAAGTTGATAATTAAGTTTTCCTCATTTACCATATAAACTCCTTCATGATCTTCACAATGCAATTTTTTACCGACTACCTCAGATTCCTGGTATTGGCTGTACAAGAACTTGTGGATACATTCTGTGATTTACAAATGTTTGAAGGGGGGCTAGTTCTTTTTCTATTACAAATGAGAATCTTTGTGCATATCTTGGTATGCTCATAAAAAATCAGACAAGTACAAGTGTATGAGTTTATTTCTGAACTTATTTCGGAGTTCATTTTAAATTTAAAATCTGGCTACAAGGATTCTTAATAAAACATAATTACATGGAGTTGTAATTCCAAATTTTTTTATGCGTATTTGATGTGATTAATTTGGAGTCCTCATCATCCATAATGTTGTAAGGAAAAAGCACTTTGTTTTTAATTGCTCTCTTCTTCACTCATTTCATGAGTAGTTAGAGTGGAAAACTACCACCCAACCACTTACTGTTAATGTACATGAGTGACTAGAACATAAGAACAAAAATCAGGCTTCCCTCAGTAATGTGTTTTTCCACTTCTGAAATTGGAGTATGGTACTCTGTTGCCATGGATATTTGCTATTTAAATATGCTGAAAGCTTTAAAAATGCTCTCTGGTCTTTGAGGGACCTCCTAATGACAAGCAGTAAATTATCCAAGAGGGTAATTATAGAGTATATGTTGGAATTAATATAAACTAAAAATCATTTACAATATTTTAA